ACTTCCCGATATACATATTTACTTCGGAAAAATTCTTAAAATATATTAGTATATGGAACTATTTTGCCAACTGAGCCCAAATGATGAAATCAGGAGAGCATTCTTTACCCTTTATCAATGGGTTGTGAGGAAAATATATTGATTTCATAGACAAATAATAAACTTGTAAAAAACACGTCACAGCATTCAGTTTATTTAGACAGGTATGCAATTTTATTTCTATGCTAAAAGCATCACGCAGAGGATATTGATACTAAAAATGCATTTTGCCCAAGATTTAATCAAATTTCAAATAAATGTTGCATTTAATTGAATTTAATTATAAAGACCGAATATCGTTAAATAGATTTGATATAATCAATAATTATTTGTAAAATTTTGATATAATGAATATTTTTACCATTTGATTTCAAGGTAATTAGCATAGTTCATATCATTGTACACGCCGAGCGCACCAATTGATTCTGCCTCCTATGATAGAAGTCTTTGGCAGTTAAAGAAGCTTCTTTTCAACTTTTTCCGTGAATACTACGTTAACCTAGTATTTCGGATTGGGCGGTTTTAAATTTTCCGTCCGGATGTGCTAGTAAAATTTCAGATGCCAAGTAAGGGTATATTGTTCCACTAATATCTGCAATTTTAACTATTTATCTGACTTGATGTGTTATTTTTTCACATTTTAAAGAGTGTAATACTGCAATAGTCCGTTCTTAAATCTTCAGATGTAATTTCGTCGCTATAAAGTGTTTATTATTACAATTATAACATTTTGATTTTATTTGCTGCTTTCATTTTTTCTAATATGCATTGAATAATTTAAGTCCACTAACCATAACCGTTTTGATTTTAAAATTAAACATTTTCGCTTTGTGCCCTGTCCCCTGACATCGTATTTACATTTCGTCCTCTTTTAAGTTATTTCTAGAATTACTTTTCTGAGTTTGATTTACTAATTCACTTACAACTTTCCTTCTTCACATTGTTAGTGGGCATTTTATTTCTTAGTCTTTGTTTTCTCATCATTTTAAATACGTTAATTAGCTGATGCAACAAGCTATTTAGTACCTGTGCGTCTCCATTCAGGAAGCCAACCAATTAGATTACCGGAAGCTGGCACGTGGGTGCACGCATGGGGTGGCACACGCACCTATTGCATCCCATTTCCACAAACGCGCACACATTCTTACACTTTTGGGCGTCCGCTCCTGCTCGTTCGATATCATAGAAGAACAGTTACTCCTTTCACTCTTACACGGATTTATTTATGTGCTCTTACTATTTTGGAATGATTATCATGGCCTAGTTGTCCTCGCTTAAATTTTTAAACCATGCCTTTTCTCTGGACTATCAATAAGAGACCCACTCGAAACGCTGAATCTGTTGATCGAGCCACCTGTAAGTTAATCCGGGATTTGTTATGCCTTCAGTTACCTTCCAATATCTATTTCTGCCAATTTGGTAATATTTGGAAATGAAATTAGCACAATGGATTTATATTATCGTTCGCCGATTGCACTAAATTGGCCACTATTGGTCGGTTTCTTGACAGAATGACTTCCCATTCCCAATATAGCTTTTGTGTCTTAAATCAATAGATAACCTAGCCATATATGCTCCAATCGTTTTCTCAGTTTATTTCATTTCTTATCATTTAAAAAAAATACATAAATAAGTTGGAATATGGGTGGATTTAAGTCGGCTTAGAACCACGGATTTGCTCTCCTTTTTTATTACCTGTGAAAGTGGCTTAAGAAAATTAAGTATATTGTTTCTTTTTTCATTTTATGCATCTATGCGTTCTCCATGCCCCCTCCCGTACGTGTTTTATTCTTAGGGAGTTTAATTGGCAACTCTTGTCATCCCTTCGTGCTTTTGACCAAATCGTTGTGGTGTTTGTAATGTGGAGATGTGTAATGAAATTTTTATTGACAAGTTTTGTCATGCCCTTTGACATTATTTTATTTGACTGTATTTTTTTTTCCTGATGTTAAAAGACGTGCAGACTTTGAATATGCAGAACAGGTGCAATTGTCCAAATTTTAGACTAGTTGCAAAATATCTCACCCTATTCCCGCTTTAATCACGTTCTACTTCAAGTCATACTAACTTTTCGTAAAATGTAATTTCACAGCTACTGGTGAATTTGTATATATTTGTGGGCTTTGTGAGATTGATTCGGAGTTCTTTACTTTATCGCAGTTGCTATCTTAATGGAATTGAAGTAGCAAGTGATTTTAGCAATAAAGTTTATTTTCTAGGTAATTATTGGCGGGTTTGTGGTATCCCTCGTTTCATTTGTTGAAAAGTTTCTTCTGGAAGGTTGTCAATAAATTCTATATATATGTATATATGAAAATAGAAATGATTTATAAAAATATTCATTTAAATCCATTTAAAATCCGAATAAATCCTATTGTACTATAATGCGATTAAATGAGCTAGTCTTAATCCTTGCTATCTCTATCAGCGTGTCCTTTGTCACCACAATTGCAATATTCTCCTTTTCAGGATCATCATCATCATCATGCTATTGATTATTTATAATTTCGAAAGTGAATTAGTTCGCGTTCTTTCGGTACTATTGTGTTAGAAGTAAATAATTTTTTTCAAAATAAAAATTTGGTCAACTTTTGTTGGTGCCTTACTGCCACCTTGCGTCTCGGTGTCGACAATGTTGCAACATTGTGCCTTACGTGCGTAATTACTTCGCAATTTTTCCACTCCGAATAGCCAGCCTTTAAAGGAGCTTTAGTCTTTCATTTTTATTTCTTAATGGAATTAGTAAATTTAAATAATTCTGGTCTCTAACATTTGGTCCGCCTGTAAAAAAGGGGAAAGTGGAGGCCACAACCCTGAACTAGGTACCAGAGTTCGCTGATTAAATTTTTGTTGTCGGTATGCTCGTTTTTCGGGTTAGATTACGAATTCAGACTGATTTTACTCCTATTAATGCAAGACTTAGCCTCCTTGGTGGGTTTTACACGTGCTTCTCGAAAAATTCAAACCTTTGAGGTCATGGGTCATTAAAAATCTACCGACACCATTACAACTTCTGACCCTTTACGCAAATATACGCACTTTGCGTACGTGTCAGATTTTTTACTTAAGTTTTAGTCATAAATTATCAATATCGGTAGGAGGCTTATGGGGGATTTCGATGCATAATCATGAGGTGCTTTCAATAGCCAAGACTGCGCAAGTGCTTCTAACCATTAAAGTGTTGAGGAGGAGGAACTACCATCGATCAAAGTAACTCTTCCCCATTCATGGTGTTAATTTCTTAAACTGCACTCCTCTCACCTCCATTGAATTGGATGTTAAAGGCTCGTCTGCTTGGAATTCCATTCGAAGTCTCCAGGGTTCGGGAGTATGGATTACAAAATGATATTTGTTAAGATTCCCCTTTTAAATTAGAGTTTGTTCTACCCGTGTTTGGTGGTTTTTTTCTGTTTTGAATAAAATACTCCAGCCAATCATTTCAAAGTTCGATAGTGTTAGTACTTTATATTCCGAAAGGATCCTTGGCTAAATGGCAGCAGCTATCACTTCATCGATAGGCCACTTGTTTATTTCGCTCCAGTCAGTTCGTAAATATTTAATTTTATGCCTTCTTCAAAATCAACCGATCGCAATGTCCAGACAAGTCCTCTATACGATTCATTTATTTTTCTTAATTAAATATATATTTAAAACCATCTCATTTTGTGTTGCTTTGAATTATTCTTACCATTGTAATTGTAGCCCTTTTGATCAGCCATCTTTTCTCCTCCTTCTCATTAATTAATTTATTAAATATGATCATTTGCTAACTTTTTTTTACATTTTATAATTTCAATAAAGTCTTCCCTCCTCCCTCCCCCTCCTACCACGGAAAATTTTTGTTTAATTATTTATTATCGATCTCTTGTGTCTAGGTAAATTCGTGAAACCCTCTTGAGAGAGATGCCACGTAAGTTTAAAAGATCCTCTCGTACTAACTGACTCATTAAAATACGCGATATAACTCACTCCAATAGAACATTCTTCATTAAAGTTAACTAAATCTTTAATCCATGATATTGGTGGTGCATTATTTTTTTTCCACGAAAACTCCGTTCTTATTCCGCACTTCACGCTTCTGCTACTCATTTAAACAACTACGAAAGTTTACAATTTTTAACAGCTTTTAAAATAATTCACAACCTTTTTTTCCAACAGCTACTCTCATATGATTCTATGTCGACGCTCTCTTCCTACTCATACAAAGATCTAGTGATTAATTGCTATTATGAAATATGATTAGTGGATACATTCTGCGAGGTTTGGAACGATCCACAATGCATGAGAGACGTCACAATTAGTACTTTTATTGATGCAGAGATGTATCATCATAGGATTTCGAGCCCGTGGTTTAGAAGTTTTCTCACCATAACATACCATTTTACTCTTTTTTTAATAACTTAAATTAATTTACCGATCAATTGCCCCCTGTGGTCGGTTCCCAAAGAACGCCTTTGTATGACAATCTATTAATTCTAGCAGTAGAAATCATTGGCCATTTGTTCGTTCGGAATTATTTCTAACCCTTAGATGTGAAGTAGTCCTTTCGATTTGGGTTTTTTTAATGCCATTTTGCATTTACGTTCAATTTTTAACTGTCAAAAATTCGGCCTTATTTTCTCCTAAACCGAGTAATTACCTTCTTGCTAAAAGCGTCCATTGGTCCTTACTCTACAACTGCATCTAGTCTTGGCTAATTCACATTCCTTCCAATGTGGGCAAAAGGGGTATTCTTTCCTTCTCTTGCTTCTAGGACCCCCTCCACCCCACCTCCTCCCCCCCCAACATCATCTCCTCTTTCGCTTTTTTTTGCTGTAGTAATTTTTCTTCTCCCGAAAAGTGTTGGGCAATCGTGTAAATTGCCCAGCATTACAATATCTTCATAATTATATCTCCCTCTTGTCAGAAGCAATTATCCTAGTCAATCAAATTTTGTCATTTACTCCATAATTTCTTCCTTAATGATGGACTATGCTATTGTTGCTGATGGTGGTGGTGGTGCGTATAAGAAATTCGCCCTAAATCTCCAATCCTAGTTCGTGTAATGTTTTAAAATGAACTTTTATCGATTTGTTGTTTCATACTAGATCGCAAGCAGAAGGGGTTCAAGTTTGGAAATCTCTTTAAGAAGAATTCCCTTGCTTCTCCTCTCCCGATAATAAGCACTACCCCTCAGTTCTCCACCTGTATCGGTTTACCCACCTGCGCTATTCCAAGTACCTCTTTTTCGGATGATGCTCTTGCCGATGTCTCCCACCGTCGTGCAATTAGCGATCTAGTTATTGTCACGCCACCAACAGCTAATAGTCCTCCTATCTCCCCCTTTATGCAACAGCAACCCAGTCAGCAGACTTCTTTCATCGGTCTAAAGCCACCTCAAACTCCAGATAGTGGAATTAATCAGCCTTCTGCCTCGTCCTACCTCTACTCTTCGAATTCTTCCTCTTCGTCGAACACCTTTGCCAGTTCAAAAATGTACTCTGGAAGTGTGGATTCTTCTTCTGCTGCGGCTAATGCATCATTTTCGTCAAATCGTTTCTCCTGGCCGAAATCGAGTTGCTCTTCCTCCTCGACGTCCTCGTGCACTTCAGAAATGAGCTCTCTGTCCACAGCACTGTCAAATAATCTTCGTTTAACTGGAGATGTAAGTACTGCGGCTTCAGGAAATAGCCTGTTCACCTCACCACCGAAGAATAATGGTTCAGTCAGCAGTCCGGCTTCAGGTACACCTCAGAGGTTGCCGAGATTTGTTGCTGGAACGACGATTGCTGAGGAAGATGAAGAGGCAGAAGAAGGAAATTCTAATTCGAACGCTCCTATATCTTCAACCGTTCTGACGCAACCTCATCCAGATTCCACGACAAATCCAGTTGGATCTAGTTCTGCCACTGATTCAATGGAAACGGGATTTGCAGCAACTGTTGCGCAAGTTTCACGAAGAACAGGCACTTCGGCTCAGGAATTGTATGCTCGCATGAAAGAGGTGCGTAGACGACCAGAAGATGTAAGAAATAGGCTGAGAGGACAAGTAAATGGAGTAGTTAGCTCGAGTAGTAATGGAAATGACAGCATCGGCACAGGAACTTCCAAGCGTCTCTCATTGCCGGCTAGTCTTCACTTGCCACCTCATTTAAGGCAAAAGGCTATTCAGTTGCTGGAGGAGCCTATGACTAGGAGGGAGCGTCGTATGTCTTTGGTAAGATTTGCTTATAAATTGCATCTCTTTTTTAACTATTATTACATGACCTCTTCCCTGCTCAACGTCTTGCCTAATAGAAGAAGATATGCAGTCTTCATATCTTAGAAATTTGAAGGAAGAAAATACGTAATTAGTCTTCATGAGGATGGATTTGTGAAAATTTCGATCCATTTTACCCAAAGACAGCATTTACGTTTTATGCCTTAGCAGTGTTACTTATTATTTCGTGTTTATAAAACTTGAAAGAGTATAATTTTATAAATTCGATTGTTTCAGTTAAATAATTCCACTGATAAATGTTTCTTCAAATTTTGCTTCTTTCGTGCGTTTTCGCTCATTTTAGATCTTGATAACTCAAATATCCTTTTGTTTTGTTTTACTCTTTCATGTCGCGCACTAATTAAATTTTTCGATTTTTTTCGCCGATTATAGAGATTTGGGAGACTGGCTTGTTCTAACTTAATCATTACTGATACTCCTACAACGGTCCCCTACTTTTTCATTTAGAATATTTAAATTGGGCTCTACTATAATTGTGGTGGAAATCAACAAGTCTTAATTGTGACGTCAGTGGAGAAATATTAAACGTCGATAAAATCTCTACAGGATTGTTTCTTTTTCCCTCTCCTTAATTCTGTGCTGACATTTCGCCTGTACTTTGTATTAGCCTCAGAGTAGGTACAATTTTAATTTTTTTTGCATTTTTTGTGTCGTGAATTTGCTCTAGAGTGTGTTGTCCTTTCACTTCTACCAAATCCTTGTTCACCTAAAGTTCACAATGTATCTACCTCCTTTTGCCCTGTCCTATAGTTAGTACCAGGCATTAAAGTCCTTTCGCTTCGTTCATAGTCTTGCAAAAGACGATTACTTGAAACCCTTAGTGGAATCCTTTCAGTAGACTGAAATCACAGATCAATTCTTTATATCTTAGAGGCTTAATGACCTTGAAATGGTTTAGTTTAGGGGTGGGTTATCCTATATGGAAATATGATGATTATAAATAATGATAGATTGATTTTTATGTTAATACTTTTAATTTATGTTCAGTCTTATTGTATATTAGGATTGCGTTTATCTTTCTGACTGCACATTATCCGTAGGTTTTTATTTTTGAAGAGAAGTATAAAATCTGATAGGAAAATAATGAATTTATCTGGCAATATTTAAATAATAAAAACATGTTTTTTAAAGAGTTTTGCCAGTATTTTGGTGGCTAAAGTAAGTTAATTCAGAGTTCACAAGACCAAAATATGAAGCACCAGAATGGTCCAATGTCCCTTCTCTCTACCCTAGATTTATTTATAACAAATTGGAGGCGTTTTGATATTTATCATTGGCCCTTTAGTTGATTTCAGGCTTCACAGAGGGGAGGAGAAACATCAAAGTGGGAAGAATTCGGGAGGGGGAATAGAACAGTGATTCACAGATTTAAAAGAAACAGACAGATACAAAGGCAGAGAATAGGTAAGATGAGTACTGCGATAGGAGTCGAATATGACATACAGTTGGGGTGAGGGTAATTTGAAGTCAGAAGTCAACTGCCAGTTAATAGGCTTTTTGCATATAATTATACGTTGCCCAGGGTGCACCACGAGGAGGTAAGTCTATCCCACACCCCTCTCTACCCTAGATAAGTGGTGTTAACGCCCCTTTACTCTCACTTGCTATTTAATGGATCTCGTTTATCGTATGATAGTTGTTTATTTTGCGCGTCTCCTTTTGACTTAATTGATTTCAAATATCTATTGGGTTTTCGATCCAGAGACACGTTAAGTCTTTCACATTTAACAGAAGCTATTTTCGCATTATAAAGTTAATATTGATAAGTAATGGGTCACTTTAGACTGCCGAGTAAACAATCAGAGATGGCTTGCACCAAAGACTACGATCAACTTTCCTTTTAACCCTCGCTATTCAACAATTGAACTCCACAATAACGTTTGGAAGCTGGTTTCTATCGTGTTTTTGTAAAATTCCTCTACCCAAATTTGCGTGGAGACCAAAAAATGGGGTAAATGATAGCAGTGAAAATGCATCAGATGCAGAGGAGTCATAAAGCATCAGTCGGACTGTGGATCAATAGTCAATATGACAATGCGAATTTGAGCGCGATGGAGCATTTTGCTTGTTCTGGAATTTCTCTGAAGCCCTCCTTCATGATTGTTGAAACTTTTTGATTTAATGTTTCGGAATTACTTCGGCACCATGCAACTATACTTCTGTTCCATTAAAAAAAAGCTTACCATTCCATTTGCTGATTCCTTTCTAATGATGCAGGCTTCATTTCCTGTGGTTATTGTGTTCAGTGAATCAGCCTTCTTCATTCCCTTTCGGTGTGGTACCTTTTCTCTAATTAATATTCCAGGCATATGCTTACGTAAGCTCTATAGCTATGAGATATGCCATTTCAAGGCTACTCTAGCATCCTACTAACAGAGTGGCCATAATCTGGTTTCATGGTATTTAACATCTCTGCGTCGAATTCGGTGAGAAAATTCAGGAAAATTGTAATTAGTTTGAAGCACTTTATTCGCTATAATGAACTGTTCTGTTTACATAAGTTTTTTTAAAAATGTCACTTTTTTGCGTATTTTGACTGAATGGCGGTTTTTTGGCATTTAAAGGAGAGTGTAAGGTGCACATGTATTTGGTGAAAATTCTATTACCTCCGAAGTATGACCCTATTCTCCTTTTACGATCCTACTTTGACTAAATTTATATACTTTTTCGTGATTTGAGAAAAAAAATATATTTTTTATGTTCAATGCAGTACAAAATTATTTTAATAGTTCTAACCCTTCAATGGCATCTTAATAACTGAGAGTTGAATGTGAGTGCGTTAATTAATTCAGAATCTCTGGAATCGTTAATTAGTTTCTGGAAGCATTGAGTCGTTCCCTTTCTCATAAGCAGTGCGATTTAATCCATCAATTCCTGGTCTACTAATTCCTATCCGCTCTGCACAGTTGATTTAATTGAGTGGTTGTCAAAGGAGGCTTTATATGGACCTGGGCTTACTGAGTAATGATTTTCCCCATGGTATCATATGATCAAGGTGATTAATGGAAGATCTTAATCACCTCTATTCCTTTCCGACCCTCTCTCCCCCTGTGTGTGTGTGTTAAATGCGCTGTTTAAAACTCTCTTTAAGGCCCAAAATTGCTAAGCTCCTTAAAGGGAAGAGAGTATCTTGTTTCGTCATCTTTTTTCCCGTCATTTGCTCCAACCAACTCCATCTCAGTCAAAATACGCAGTTTTGTTTTCTGCGCAGACCAATAATTTATGTCTGTTTAAGTTCTTTGTACTTTGTGCGCGCCCGCCCCATCCAATCCCCCTCACCTCTTACCGCACAAGCTGTTGTGGTGTAAGTAACACCAATTTTTTTATTTTAATTGCTCTGCATTATGAAGTGGGCGTATTAAATTGAGGTGCATTCAGAGAAAAATACGGTTTACAACTAGAAATCCATATAGACTATTGTAACTCTATGTGGAAAAGCTTTTTTTTCAACATTCATCTATGGCTAGAATCTCAAAGTCTACTGTCTAATGTCTATTAGTGATTAGTGCTATTTACAAGTTGAGAAGTCGTTGGACAAGAAGAACAGCAGAATAGTCTAAATAAGTGATTAGGAAGATGGTAGAACTTGAAAATTCAAGTGAACTGATTTTGTGATGCATCAGGTTTTCTTTTGTTGTCTAGTAGCTGTTTTATTTACACCTTGGCCTAGGGTTAAATTTTCCTTGTTCTAAACTCTAGAGTCCCATGTTGTAGTTCCTTTTTTCTCGGTGTTTAAAGAACTGTTTGACCAGTAGACTGAATTGAGAGATTGGTACACCTGAATTCATCTAATCACAAGCTAGCCTAGTAGTCAAGGTGCTTTAAATGCAACCCGGGCGCGATGAGACTATCATTCCCATTTTATGAACTCGCGGGTATATTGGAATTTTCAGTATCTTTCCCGCCCTGTCTAAGCTGTCAAAATTGAGACCCTAATTACCTGTGGCATTCTAGTGGCTTCCCTCCCCTCCACCCCCCCCCTGACTCCTACTTTTGTTGAACTTCCTTGGATAAAGTGGCAGCATCAAATTTTTGTGTAGTCACCTTTTCTTCTCCCTAATTTTTTTGGGTATTTTTCCTGAGGCATTTCCTTCCGTACTTACATGTTCTTTTGGAGGAAATAGCACGTACGTTGTTATGGATTCCAATTAGGGAAATGTATTTATGACTATTAATAAATGGGGGGGTGATGTTGGGAGGAAGAATTGGGGTAGTTGCATTTTTACGAAAACATGCACTTTGCTTTTTTCCTTACTTATTATTACCTATAATTAGAGCGAAAATCTTGCCTTACCTTTGCCTAATTCGGTGCTCTTTCCACAATTAAGGCTACTTAATGCATTATTTAAGCGTCTGTATAGTGAATTTTACTTTGCAGCTGTGATATGGCATTGAATTGGCCATGAGATTATTTCTAGTTAAACACTTAATTGCTCAGATCAAGGCAGAGATTCGATATCTCAAATTACTGCCCCTTTTTTTAATTTAAAAAATACAGCCGCGCATTTCTCATTGGTTTATGAGTAGAATGGCTGACGTAAACTAGCAAGTCGATAATGCAGTTGTAGGGGGTTTTCATTCCTTAACAGATAGTGTATAGAGGAAGAAATGGAAGATCCGATTTGTCGTTAAAATAAAGTCTACAAAAAAGATTTCCGATTTTATGTATCGATTTTTCCTTAATTGCGATACGCTATTTTGAGTCAACAACGTAGAGCAAAGCTAAACGCTCTAGCGATGGAAAGCCAAAAAATGGAGTATATATATGTCGTTTCTGTGTTTAGACTTGGGGTGGTTTAATCCAGGGAGCTCGGGTGCATGTTTATTATTATAGTGATAATTTTAAAGCCTATTACAATGCTTCTCACACAATTCAAAGTGTGTTAGTTTCATTGTAACAATTTAGTGAACGCCAGTCTCGTATGTTTACAAGTTAGTTATTTGCAAAAAGAAGGTGATAGGGTCAATTCACCTCATTTGACTGCATGTGATAGGGATTTCTGAAAGCCTGTTCTGACCTGAATAAGGATCTCAAGTTTGTCTCTGTGTTGTTGTGGTTAATTCGGCGTTTTGAAAATCAGGTCCAACATCCTATCTTCCAATGACTTATAGGGCTCAACTTACCAAAAGTTATGAGAGTTTCTCCCTTTTTTGCATCTATTCTCCGTTTTTTTTAAAAAAATTTATTATTTTACCCGTGACGTTGAGAAAAGTGCGATCTTTGTTAAAGGAAAGCAAACGAATAAGGAAAGAAATCGTAATAATTAGGTAGTAAAATCGGGGCAATATGAATTTACCCATATTTGAACTCTGGAACAATAAGTTGTCCATAGTTTCATGCGGGATGAGTTTGCTTTGTGGTTTGGAGCAGAGGGTGGTTGTGAAAGCGTCTTCGATTTTCATAACTTGTTCAGTTTGCTTAACTCAGCGGTTGGTCATGGAACTTTGGTCTATCTGCAACAGTCCAGCTCACTGTGCTCTTCTAATTGTTACTTTTTATACAAAATTTGATTATTCTATGAATGCTGTCATTTGAAGTGCATCCTTGGCTGTCACTGACAATGGAAAACTACTTATTCCCACGTTATTAACCAGAGTTACAAAATGCACCTCCCTGCCGTCATTAAAGTTATACTCTCAAGGCAGTTTTCATTCACTTCTCAAATTGATTAAATGCAGTCATTCATGCATTTCGGTAAAATTTCTGGGTCCAAGTCGTCTTCGGGGGTCGTACTACATTTGTTTGGGAAAAAAGTGGCTTCGTTTTTATGCCTTCGACATATTCCTTACTTCGTTTACTCATCTCTTACTCCCTTTAGTGTACCTTCAAGGTTATCATTTGGACTAACAGCATTTCTACAAATCTTTGTCTTATGCAGTCTTCAATTTACCGAGCGGACAGAGTCTAGGTGGTCTGAGTGCATTGGTACTGGTTGTGGATGCGTTTGAAGTAGAGATATAGTCAAAATGGACCACTTTACTAGCCTCTTCAATCTTTTCTTCGGAAATGTTTGTCGATAACCTGAAGAGAATGGAAAAAGCACCTGAATCTCATGGCCTCGCCCTATTGTGGCAATCGAGCAAACCTCCTCCTGCCCCACTCCCCTGAACAGTCACGTGTCCACATCAATATGTATTAAAATTCTGACGTCATTTCACGCATGACTTGCTTGTCTGCCTATCCATTTGCTCTGCGATTATTTTTTTCACGCAATTAACTCGCCCCTATGCTCATTTGAATCTAATTTTGCCTCAGTTTACCAATGATTTAACTACAGGGGGAGGTCTTTTTGGTTTTGTTTTTTGTATTACATCCTTCCTCCCCCCCCCCCCCCTATTTATTAAATGACCTCTCTGCGTAGCTAGCTATTGTCGAAGTATTTTCACTAAAAATGCCTCCGGAATTGTTAGTATATCACGCACCTATAGCATTAACCATAATTCAACAAAAATTTGTGCATGTTAACTCAATTAAAGTAGAACGCGAGAAATGAAGAGAGATCGAGTAGATGTCGGTAATGAAGTCGAAGTATGCCAAGAGTTTTGCCATCTTTTTTTGGTTTCTTGATACATCGTTTCTCCTGAGGGTTGCAGTTCACGACGTATCTCGAGATTCAATCTGGGCGATTTCTCGTGTATATGTGATATTTAGACCTGGCTTAGGAGGTGAATTAAGTGCTATCTCCACCTATGTACTTCCTAGTACGATCGAAGAAAACAAGTGGATAAGACAAGCAGAAAGTTGCCAAGACATCCTCTGGGAATTCTGCATTTGTTTGTTTGTTTGTTAGTTTTGGCCTCAACGTCTTACTCGTTGTCTTATTCTAATTTTTATTAGACGCGCTCGGGGTATTTGTATTATTTAAACACGATTGTTTATCGTTCTATGAAAGGAGGATGTTTATCCGAACAGTTGCCACTTCGGCAACTCGGTTAGATGGATCGAAATGCTACAAGAGCAAAGATGGCGGAAGTTCTTGAATATATGTTCTCGTATGCATACTTTATAATCAATAACACTTTAATGCTGTTTTTGAAATGCTTGTTTACTTACTGAACGTATTTGCTTTAATTACCTCATGATAAATGAATGAAGTTGGCTTGTAATTAACGTCTATTGCTGAATCAACGTATCTTTGATTAAGAAATGTCTCTCTCTCTATTGCTAGAAAAATATTCAACTTTTGCTCCGTTTGCATATTGCAATGAAATACGAGACGAGCACACACGAGGTTGTATTTCAAATACGAATCGCAGTTATTTACAATCTATTGAACTTTAGAATCGGTGATCTTAAGTTTCGCCTGACACTTTGTGAAGATTTTGTATTGATCTGAGCCTGCATCATCATCATTAACATCATCTTCGCATTC